CAAATAGGATTTTGTGTCCAGTGTGCTTGAGAGCATGTTCAGCTACTGCAGACTTTTCTGGCTGCTGTAGTCTGCAGTGTCTTTCGTGTTCTTTTATCCGATCCGTGCTGGCGAAACGTTAGGAAGCAAAACTTCCAGAACACGGCCACACAGCCCGGAAGACCCACACCAGCCATGTTGGTTATTGTTGCGGTTTCTCCATGACTACTTTATCATTATGGAAAAAGGTTCAAAGAGCTATCAGAAACCAATATATACACAACCCTATGGTACGCAAACACCAGATTTTTTAGTATGTAATTTGTACTCTACATTTTGCTGTAAAAGAGAAGCCAAATGCATTGTTATCTTTGCTATTCCTTTGAAAACTGAAAAAGCTACAGACATTGGTCCTAAACATTAGTTAATGTTTATTATTTTTGGGAAAATGGAAAGAGGACATATATAACATCTTCATTTGTTGGGAGACAACTAGCTAAATGATGATAAATCATTACAAATCTCCTAGATTCTGATGTTTAGGGATCAAAAATAGGACATATTATTAGTATCCAACTTTATATGAGTACTACTTTACTCTACGTTCAACAACGTGATTTCTTTATGCCAAAATGCATAATGCAAAATGTTCCCAGTGATCAAAAGGCAGTTGTAGCAGCACCGTCTTTTCACATCCCATGTCTTCAACTGTATTTCTGCAGCTTACCCTCTGCCAATGTTACGTTGAAGAAAGAGCCTTCAGTAAATACAGGCTTACTGAACTGTGATAATACACAGCACATTTATTTAGAAATACTCAATATTATTAGCAAACATTTTCTCAAACAAATACACACATTTTGGTTATATTACAATGGCAAAGGAAAAAAATAAATAAAAAAGGATTCTTTGAGTTGAATTTGATTTCTCATAATTTCATGGACAAGTCCATGCAGTTTTCTTAGCAATAGTACACACTGGTTTGCCATTCTCTTCTTCTGAGAAGTTTTTTAACTGCCTAGCTCCGGTATTCCCTGGTAGTCTCTCACCCAAGTGTTAACTGGACTCAAATCTGCTTAGGTTCTGAACTCAGAGAAGATCATTCAGGTGCGCAGGTATTACATCTGCTGTTCAGTGGCAAAAATAATCTAGATGCAGTTCTTTAAGATATTAGCTATTCTGTATCTCTCCCCCTCTCTCCTTCTCTCTCTCTCTTGTTTTAGATGCATCTTGGCAGTGGGAACATTTGAAGAACTATATCACTCATTACACTTTATTGTTAAATAAGGAAATGTGAAGTGGTGATGGTAAGAATTCAGAATCTGCTCAGATGCAAATTACTTCAAAGTAATTTCAGCATTTTAAAACTATTTCTGCAGATTCCGAACAAGGGCTATGAAGTTTGTTTGTTTTTTCCTATCGCTGTATATCTTTAAAATAGACAATACTTGTGCATCAGATTGATCATTGTGTTAATCAATCACTATGGTGTTGACTCTCAGTGAACACATAGATATTTCTCCAGGACAATCTGTCCCCAAACTGCTCCTTCATATCTTCCAATGATGCACCCATAATTAATTAAGTTATACTTAACAGTTCGCTCCAGTAAACAGCATGGCTATTTCTTCTTTATAATAAATTCTGTAATAAGATCACCAATCCAATATCATTGAGGATCAAATCTAATTTATAACTCACTCAATGACAAGATAAGTTATGTTTATATCTGTATCTATAAAACAGTGCTGGGAAAACAAAAATCTAGTGATGTAACCATTTGATCATATAGGTGACAAGGTTCACTATGACCAAGTTAAGACATAACAATCATGGACTAATTAAGCATGATATACTGGGGAAAGAATAGCATTATACATATATACTCCTGATTTTCACTTCCCATTTTGCACATTTTCCCCTCTATGGTTGAGGTTCTTGGGGTGCAAAGTAGTTAAGCCAAGTGAACCTAGAGAAGGGTTGTAATGATAGCTTACAAGTTGAGATATAATGGAAAATGGTGATTAACCGAACAGCTAGTATTGAGGTATGTGATAGAATGGAGGCTAATGGATGACAGAGTGTACAAGCATAATGTTTGTTTTCAATTTGGAGTGAGGACGTTATGGCTAAGATTGACACTATCTTTGATAACAAAAGCATAAAGAATATAAAAGTTTCAACATTATGAGATATTATTTTGGCTCAGCATCTTTGAAATTGCAGAACCCTTCATTGGGTAAGTCCAACTATAAACGAGGATCAAGACCCTTTTTCTCCAACTTGTCCAATTTGTGTTAATCTCGGTAAGAATTTATTAAGAATTTAGTAGCAAGCTTCTACCCTGTTTATCACTTTCTGGCTTAGGATCTGTAAGCATACATGTCATTGTGCTGTACGACCAAGTGTTTCCTCTGGGCGTTTCCTCTGAAAATCACTTTGATACAAAGAGCAACAGAGCAATGAGGAATAGTATGAATATACATCTTCCCTCCATTGCTAAGAGGACTGTAGATGGCCCCGTGTATTTATACCTTTTAAAAACAGAAAAGAATTGGATGGCTAATACATAAAATAATAAGAAAATTATATTTCCTAGAATTCATGTGTTATCTTTCAGGCCCCACCCCTAAAAAAAAATAATAATTCTGGATTCCAACAGGACAAACAGCTACTGCAACAAAATGTTACAATCTGCAGTGTGCTCCTGTTTCAATATTCCATTCTCTTCTATTCTCCTTGTTCATAATTTTCCATTTTATTGTACTGATTTTTTTCTTTTTTTCCTAATCTCAACCATTTAGTTCTTTCTGGACTGCCTTGGGACTGTCTCATGAGAACTTTTTCTAAATATGTCCTGGACTTCTGGAGTTTTCCATCTTGCATACTGTTCATGCTGTTCAATTGATAGTCACTGAATTGTTTATACACACGGACACACACACACACTCTCTCTCTCTCTCTTATACAAGTCTCTTTTAAAAATATGTATTTGTGGGTGTGTATGTGTGTGTATGTACACAAACACACATACACACACACATACACATAAAATTTGAAGTTGGTAGATTGACCAAAGCCATCTCATGAGTTTCAGGACAAAATGAGGACTTGAACATAGATCGCCTCAAGTTAGAAATGGACAAATTTGTTATCTTCCATTGTTGTTCGCCCCCACCCCCTCTCCCTCATTCTAATGCTAAATGTTGTTTTTCAGTTAATGTATCACACTGAGAACTGTTTTAAAAAGTACATCAAGATGTGCGTGCTTTGCATATGTTTCTAATATGCACCTTCTTATAAATAATTTTCCTTTATGTGCACTTTTGTATATATTTTGCACATTCTTTCAATGTTTTTATTTTTCTTCATTATTTCTGATTGATAAACAGAACTGTAAAATGTGAGACATGTAGACTTCAGAAGATTCCAGAGTTCTGATTCATATGAAAAAATAAATATCAATAGATAAATCTATCCTCATCCTGAGTCTTAATCCAAGTTCAGCTTATTTGGTTTATTGAAGCCCTATATTTTATGGTGTAGTAACAATGTTATGTTGCCTATTTTTGTTGCTTTGATGTTTGCCATAATCAAACCAACATTTTCAGTTCTAGGCTATATTTAAAAAGTAAAAATTAAAGATCTTAACTTTTGGAAAACAAATCCAAAATGCTTGAACATTTTCCCCAAGTTTTAAAAAACTCTAGTTTTTGTTATATATAAGGTGGCATGTTGGTTTTTCTATATGGTATTTATAAAGATTGCCATGCTCATACCTATAACAGCTTCTATACTGATAAACCCATCATGTTATATATGTATTACAAAGTATATGTTGTGCACCAGCACAGAATTATATGCATTGTGAAAGTAATGTAGGAATGATTTTTATCATTTATGTATGATCTATTTAATTACTTTTAATCCTTTAGTAGTCTGGATTCATAGTCTTTGTATTATATATAGTAATTCCATAGATTGACTGGCTCATTTTTTAAGCAACGGTTTTCTAAATAATTAATATAAAATTGGGCAATCTTTATTGTATTTAATTCAGGCACAGTGAAGAATATTTCCTCGTTGTTTGCTCCCTTCTAATTTACCCCATTCTTGAATGTTTAGGAGCATATTAAAATGTAAATAACAAAAATGTAGGTGTGATGTCTTTTCAGAAATGTTTCTTTTACTTTAGAAAGGTGTTCCCCTTGTCCAAAGAGGGCTAAGGAAAAAAAATATTTTGAGGACTCTCCTTATTGTTGTACTTCCTTTATGGAAATGAGCCTCAGACTATGCAACAGCTGATGCTCAAGTTATCAACATTGAAAAAGCTGCTAAACTGTGGTGATGAGTAAGGTTTCTTTTTGAAGTAAAATAATTTAAAATTAAAGGTAAGGCAGTCTCTACTTCTGCTTCCACATTTCCCCAGAAATTATTTTACTCCCAGTGGAAGAGGAATAATAATAACAATTAATGATAAGAGGAATAATAATAATAATAATAATAATAATAATAATAAAAAAACAATAAGAGGAATAAA